GGCAGCCAGCAGTAAGTTTGTGCAAGGGAAAGGGTGTTTAAACCCTCTCCCTGGCCCCAGACCCCAGCTGGGGTTTGCTTGGTTAGGCAGTCCCCCTCCTTCCCACAGACTGGGATGGATCCCCAACTGGGCTTGACCTCCACCCCCATCTTGTCAGCCAGACTTCACTGCTCCAGCTAGGGAGCAGAGGGGTGGGACCAACCCTTATTTGTTGGAGCAGGCAGCCCAGCCCAGGGCTGCAAAGCATGCTGGGATGCTAGGGGGACTGTGATTTAAATTGAACCAGGAAGAGGTCTGGGACAGAAGTTTCATAAATCAGTTTGACTCAAATCAGTTAAGTCTACATTAAGCAAGGTTTATCTCAAACCAGTTTCAGCCATTTTGAAACTGGTTTATGTGCACTGAACTAGTCTGTTACAGATTTAAACCAGTTTCTGATCACCAGGGATCCTGGTTTTCTCTGATGAAGAACTCACAAATTCTCTGACAAAAATTTGCAAATTCTATGATAAAACCCCTGAAATTCGTCATGAAAATTAAAAGCTCCCTGCAGCCCCCTCCTCCTTAGCTCTGCTGGTGCCCCTCACTTGCCCTCATAACAACCCCCCCACCCTACTTCTTCCTCTTGCCCCCCACCCATAGCCCCTGCCCCCCCGGCCTGCTGGTGGGGACCCCCAGCTGCCAGGGCTATGGGGCCAAGGACCCAAGTCTGCAGCTCCCTGCCTCCAACTGCTCCCCCACTGCTGCTGTCTGCTTGGGTGGGGTCAGCTCCTGGCTCCCTCCCAGCCTTGCCAGTGCTCCTGGATGTGACCTGCAACCTCCCAGCCCCGTGCAAGGCCCACTTACCGCACAGGCTCCAGGAGCGAAGAGTAAGGCTGAGCTGAGCTGAGCTGAGCTGACAGAGAGTTTCAGGCCCTGCCCTTTCCCCTCTTCCTCCCCCTCCTCCTTTTTCTCCCCCTCTGGGCAGGGTTGGGGGTTTCCCACCCTGTTTGCAAACAGCTCTTGCAAGCTGGAGCTCTGCCAGCCTGCAGAGCTCTTTGCAAAAGTGGGGAATCCACAGGTTTTTCTGCTAGAATGAGAAATCTGTGTTTTCTCTGATTAAAAGGGGAAATCCATGGTTTTCTCTGTTTTTCCATGGGAAGTGGAAAATCTGGATCCCTGCTGATCACTTAATCCGGTTTATGTGTAACTTCTGTCACCAGCCCAGAAGTTCAGTGCACATAAACTGCTTTCAAAATGGCTGAAACCAGTTTAAGATAAACCAGGATGAATGCAGTATCAGGTTTAACTGATTTAGATTAAATCGCTTTATTGAACTTCTATCCCAGATCCCCTCTAGACTCAAGGTAACTCACAGTCCCCCAAGATGCTTTGCACCTTCTCGGCAAATCCTCCCATTGAAGGTTGGGTTAGCCTTGGCTCAAGCTGTCTGCTCCAGCAGAGCAGGGAGGCGTGCTCTAGCACCCCCCAGGCCCCTGCAGGTATGTGGCCACATTTCTGGAGTGAAAATTCAATGTTTGTTCACTTGCTTATTGGTTCAATCTATGCAGCTCAGACTAACCTGTGAAAATTGAATTGATTCAGCCTCAGGCTTTTTGACTGTCTGTACTTAGCCTGTTTGAACAAAGGTGAAAAAGTTGCTGCTATTCTGAGAAATCACTGGTACTGGGCTTGATTCTCAGCAGGAAGTGAAGAGGAGTTGCTTTTGCTACAGCCATTCATTTACTGGAAGAAAACATACTATTATGCTATTGTGCATGGGTGCTTGAAGTTGGCTGTACCCATGGTAATTCCAAAGGTAAAGAGAAGCCAAAGAGTTAATTTGGGTCAATTGCAACAAAATATCTTAATTCTTTTTATCACTTCACAAAATCTATTTTTTTTCCATCTGGCTAAATTATTTTTATTAGCAAAGACCTGAGCTGCTCAGCATCTTACAAGTTCAGTCTGAAATCTGATAATCAAACAACATATTTATTTCCTCACAATATATATTTATTCATTTAGATGCATCTGGTTTTCCTTGGGTAATAAGGGGATGCCAAGAGCAGGAGTCATGTAATGAGTAATAGTTCTATGTAGAAACTAATGAGCAGGGCTATTGCGATGCATAAAGAATGACTTCTTTCTTCCACTACTGATAATCACATTTTGAAAGGATTGTTTAATTTATTGTCACTGATACCCAAGGTTTAATTCAGCAAAAATAATAGTAGGTATTTATTTCAGGGTGGGGGGCATTAACCTGTGTAGAAGTAGAGTTCTTTCCTCTTTGCTGAGGTAGGAATAACTGTTTTCTTATCACTGGAAGGTAGTTCAATTTCAGTTGGGGTAAAGGTCATTTCACTCCTATATGACCAAGAAATTCTTTATTCAAAGGGTCTGACTTGTCTAGAAAATCATGTATATCTTCTGACTTAACCTCAGTGACTGACAGATCAGTATAGAATATCAAGTAGCTGCATATTCTGCTTCACTAGAAGGCTTATGAGTAGGAAACCCACATTTTCCAGAATTCAAAAAATAAAACTTTAAATGCGCTGTTTGGTAAAAGCATTCTTTAAAAAAAAATCTTGGGACAAGTAGCTTGCAATAACCAGGAATTTTTTAGTTGCACATAGATGCATCTATTTCAGTTTGTTTAGATTGCTTAATAATTTACCTGTGTACTGTTTGACCGTGACATTCAAATCAATTCTTCTGCTTGGTCTAAAGGTACATTTGATGCTGAGTAGCCAAGATACAGAGGACTGAAATTATAGAGCTGTCTAAAGACCAGAAACCTAATTTGGGGGGCAACACTGAAAACTTCTGTGTTTCCATGTAATCATGAATACCAGTGCCTTGCTCTGGTTTTCAACATAAATGGAGTTGTAATCTCTTTATGCTGGATGTCAGTTTAGCCCTCTGTCTTACATTTGTGATTGGTAAGTGGCATTCAAGGAATCGAAGCTATTGTTTACTTCCTTTAAAAATGTCATTTCAGTTGTATGGTATTTTGCTTAAACCAAACTGACCTCAGTGGGTAGAAGCTTTTCCTTTAGCAGTATCCCAAAGGAGTATGTCTGACTCTTGATTCCTGTTTGCCTCCCTTGTGTCTGGTATAGGTCCAGCATTGTGAATTTAAGTTGGATTCAAACTATCTGTTTGCAAGCTGAATCTCTTAAAAAAGAAACTTTCTTGGGGGTGAGTGGAGAAAGGTCAGGTAGGAGTTTAGGAATGCTTTGTTGACAGTGTCTGTTCTCTAGTTCAATGCATAATACTGAAGTGAAGAAGGCATAGCTTACTATATTGGCAGGACTGTGTTGTCATTGTCTTTGTTTCAACCTGGCCCAGCACCCCTCAGTACAATCTCTGCACTGTTCTGAGCACACCCAGCTGCTAAGTCCCGCATGCTTTGAAGCTACTGGGTTTGGGATAGAGTTTACTGATTGTTTATAATTCTGGAGCTTTAGAACATGCTGCTTTGTGGATATAGTGTCCTTCCATGAGATGTACAAGTCCATTTGCCTCAGATCATGAAACCAGTGCCTCAGATCTCCTGAACCCCTCCCATCACACATGCACATAACCTCTCCATTTCTCCCCCAGTTTTACCTAGGCCAGGGATTCTCAATCAGGGTGCCATGAGATGCTTTTAAGAGTTCTGTGGAGTGCTGCACAATATTAGCACCGTTCGCTGTTCAAAAGCCTCTACACAGCTCGCAAGATCAATCTAGAGGTTTTAAATAGGAATCCATAGAGTCAAAAATATTTTGACTTGCTGTGGTTTTACTGAGCTCTTTGTAACAGAAGATGTGCTTTATTATTTTTGCCCTATTATTTTTTCTGACCATGAGAGTGGTCAGGCACTGGAACAGGTTACCTAGAGAAGCTGTGGATTCTTCATGCTTGCAAACTTTCAAAAGCAAGTTAGACAGGCACTTGGCTGGGATGGTTTAGTCAGGGATGATCTTGCCTTGAGCAGGCAACTGGACTAGATGACCTTGTGAAGTTGCTTCCAGCCCTACTTTCCTATGATTCCTATGCTTTTTCTGTAGTGAAAAAAGGAGCAAAATTTAAGACCTGACATTTTACAAGTGGGGCCTTCTGTGTAACAAGGAGTGCCTTCAGTCTTAGAAAGATTGAGAACCATTGATTAGACCAGGGGCAGGCAATTATTTTGGGCAGAGGGCTGCTTTACCCAGTTTTGGCAGGCTGTTGAGAGTCGCATGGGTAGCCCCTTCCCTTGACAGGTGCCCGGCCCCCTGGTCACCATCTTGGGACCAATGTCCCAGGGCCAGCACCGGTGGGGCCCAAAGCGGGGCACAGGCTGGCAGGGGTCTGTGGAGCCAGGCTGGGATGCACCAGCAGGGAGAGTGGGGAGCTGGCCTGTCTCCATAGAGTCCCTGCTGGCTAGGGACCTGTGCTGCTGCCACCCTGCTCTGGGCCCCGCCAGCGGTGGCCCCAGGACACTGGTTCAGGCCCCATGCTCCTGCTGGCTCCCTGCCCACTTACTCCCAGTGCCCCCAAGCCCTGTGGTACAGGCAGGGGGCAGTACACAGCCTCAATCCCCTGTTTGCTGGCAGGGAAGAAGCTGGTGCTGAGTGTAGGGAAAAGTGGCCCCTCGCCCTCCCCATCATGGCCGGCACTCCCTGCTGCAGCCGCTTGCAGCCCATGCAGGGCTGTCTGGAGCAGGCACAGGCAGCCCCATGCAGGCTGTGAGCGGCTGCAGTGCAGGGCGCCAGCCACAGTGCAGGTGACGGGCCGCTTTTGCCCCCCCACGCTCAGCTTTTCCCTGGGCTCCTTCCCTGCCCGGGGTCCTCCCCTGCCCTTCCCCCTTACCTGCAGTTCCAGCACAGGGCAGCCACATGGTCCCAGGCCAGAAGCCTGTGCTGGGGCTTCCAGCTGGGGGGGTGGGGCTGGGTGGGCCCTGCTGTTGTGAGAGCCCGCCGGGCTTCCCTTGGGTCCTACTGCCCTTGGTTCCTGTCATTTTTTACAGGAACCAAGGGCAGATAAATATTCAATTTTCTATATTTTTTAGGGGCCCCGCAAGCTGGATAGAATGGCCTTGCGGGCCGGATCCAGCCCGCAGGCTGTGTTTTGCCCACCCCTGGATTAGGCTGTAGGCACTCTGGACTTCTAGTTTAACCTCTTTATGGGTGAGGAAAGCAAGTAATTTATGCTTAACAAAAGACTATCTCAGCCACAATGACTTTTTTCTATTATATTGTTTGTGATTTACCGATGTTTGAAAACAAGTAGTTCTGAAACACATGCTCCCTTAGTCTGAACTCAGACCCTCTCAGTGTCCAAGGTTTAATAGTTTGGGTCTGGGTATCTTTCCTCCTGGCCTCTGTTTTTGTGAGCCCTTCTTTGTGTGGCAGTAGTTGGCATCTCCTCACAGAGTAGCACCCCTCTCTACTTAAGTAGAGTCCTTATTTCCTTACCATGACCCATTAGAGACCATTGCTACCCCAGGCATTCCTGCAGTTCCTATCTACCCCATGGGAGAGTCCTATGCAGTCTTTGTTTCACAGGTTGAGACGCTCAAAACTGATGCTTGTTGTAGATTGTATTGCAGTATCTTTAACCCCCTCAAGATGTCAAACACTTTCCTAGAGTTATAAAGAAATAGGGCTGGAAGGGACCTCCAGAGGTTATTTAGTCCAACCTCCTGCCTGAGGTATCCCATACAACCATAATCTAAATTCAACATAAGACTACTTTCAACACTGACACAACATAGACTTAGCACTGAAACCTGCCACAGGTAAAGCAGGGGAACCACGGTAATCAGTGTTCTGCTTCTATAAATATATGCTTAGGAGGTCTAGGGTGAGGGCCATGCTCCTCGCTAGAGGAAGACAATCCCCCCCACCCCGTCCATGCCAATCTGACCATGGGGTAAAATTCCTTCCTGACCCCAAATGTGGCAATTGGTCTGACCCTGAGTGGAGGGGCAAGACCCTCTAGCCAGGAACCTCTGGCTTTGGTCCCAGCAGGAGAATTGGTACATCCCAGTTGAAGTCCCCAGCCTTAGCTGTAGCCAACACTCAGTGCCTCTGGAGAGGCTTAAAACCACCCTATCACATATAGCAGAAAAAGGGTTGGGGGGGGCAGAAGCGACCAGCAAAGCCCAGAAGCATGGGAAATACCCATGGCAGAAAATAGGCATAGCTAATTCTATGCCTAAATCATCCCTGATCAGTGGCTGTCCAACCTCTTCTTGAACACCTCTAGTGATGGACAGTCCACAGCTTCTCTAAGCAGTCTGTTCCACTGCCTCACTATTCTCACAGTGAAGAAGCTTTTCCAGATATCTAATCTAAATGCACTTTGCTGCAACTTCAAGCTATTGGTCCACATCCTCCTCTCTTTAGCAAAAGAGAAAAGGTGGTTTCCCTCTTCTTCATGGGAGCCCTTCAAGTATTTGTAGACTGGTATCATGTCTCCTCTTAAGTGCCTTTTCTGCAAACTGGACATGCCTACCTGCTTCAGCCTTTCCTCATATGACTTGTCTTCCAAACCCTTGATCATCTTTGTTGCCCGCCTCTGGACCTTCTCTAACTTCTCTATGTTCTTTTTAAAATGTAGACCCCAGAACTATGCACACTACTCCAGATGAGGCCTAACCAGTGCCTAATAGAGAGACACTATCACCTCCCAAGTCTTGCACCTAATGTTTCTGTTGATGCATCTCAACACCACATTGGCCTTTTGTGCAGCTGCATCACACTGCAGACTCATATTGAGTCTGTGGTCTACCAAGACTTCCAAGTCCTTTTCCATAGAGCTACCATCCAACCAGGGATTTCCCATTTTGTATTTGTGCTTTTAATTATTCCCCTCAGGGTGCAGCACCTTGCATTTGTCTGCATTGAACTTCATCCTGTTAGCTCTAGCCCAATTTTCCAATCTGTCGAGATCCTTCTGAATTGTGCTCGTACCCTCCGTTGTGTTCACAGTCCTTCCCAGTTTTGTGTCATCTGCAAGTTTGCTCAAGAAGCTTTCTACGCCAGCATCCAAATCATTAATAAACATGTTGAACAGCAGCAGGCCCAGAGCAGACCCCTCTTGGACTCCATTTGAAATGAATCTATGTCAGAATGGTAGGAAGTTAATAATTACTCTTTGCTTGTGGCTATTGAGTCAGTTATCTATCCACATTGTAGTAGTTTTATCCAGTCCATGTTTCTACAATTTGTTTATGAGAAGGTCATTCAGGACCTTGTCAAAGTCCAGATACTCTATATCCACAGCATTCCTTTCATCTATCCATGTAGTTACTTTGTCAAAGCAGGAGATCAGGTTGGTTTGACATGATTTGTTTTCCATAAATCCATGCTGGCTGTTTGCGATGAGGTTTTCCTTCTCCAGATGCTTGTATATGGCCTTCCTTAGGATATACACCAGTAACTTCACAGGTAAGACTAACTGGTCTGTAGTTCCCTGGGTCCTCCTTCTTGCCTTTTTTTAAAGAGGGGCACTACATTGGCCCTTTTCCAGTCCTCTGAAACCCACAGCTCCCACAACTTCATGAAGATCATTACCAAGGTCTCCAAGATCTCCTCTTCCTTTTTCTTCAGGACCCTGGGATGAAGCTCATCTGGCCCTGCTGCCTTGAATTCATTCAGACCCAATAGAAGCTCTCTGACCATCTGTTTTGTTATCACCTCCCTCTTGCCCCCTTCCTTATTTACATACTCCCTATTAGGTATCTAGCAGCTATTTTTTTTGTGAAGACTGAGAGGCAAAGTAGCTGCTGAGTATCTCCACCTTCTTTGTATCTTTGGTTAGGACTTCTCCCTGGCTTGTTAGCAGAGGACCCACAACTTCCTTGGTCCTTTCTGAGTATAGTACAAGAGCCTGCCCTTGGTCACAAATGAATTTGTGCTAATTTTTCTACACACGTATTTGGTATTTTCTACCAAATACTATAGTCTAG